CCCGCCCTCCCACCCTGTGATGCTTGTCCAGGGAGGCATTACAAAAACAACAGTGGGCTCGAAGGAGTTCAATTGCGTGTGATGCCAACAGGCACGCACTCTGCATACGTACCTGGTACCGCGCATCTAAGTCTATTGGACCTACCCCCGTCTGTAGTGGCCTGATGAAAAAAATGTGCGATTTCTCGAGTGATTCAAAAAATGCAAGATGTATTTGTTGATTATGCATATTTGAGTTACACGACTCGAATTTAATATTTGATGCATGAATTTACATAACTTTTGAGGATTGTGTTATGGGAATAGGAGCAATGGGTTGGCAGACATTTTTCCCATTCGTACGTTGTAGTCGGATAGTTCCTTCATCAACTGCAAAAATGGTGCTGGCCTGGGGATGGTGCATTGTGGTTGTGAAATGATAGGGCAGGTAATTAAATTGTTTACTGGTTCGGGCTTGTCTGTCTTCGCGTCTGTGATTTTGTTTTCACGTCAACATACTTCAGGAATCATGTGGCACGTGGCTTGCGGACCGCTGTGATGACGAAATTTGCATTTGTACATGCATACAATAAGGCTATTTGCGAATTATGTACAAAAGTCCAATCAGCTTCCAATTGGATTTTCGGGGTCCGGTCTTCAGAAGAAAAGAGGAGCGGCGGCTGGATGGGCTGCACGCGGCGCAGTGGGCCCGTGCAAAAAAAACAGAACGTGGTGGCTGGATGGGCTGCACGCGGCGCAGGCCCGCGGTGGGCCCGCGCAAGAAAACAAGAACGCGGCGGCCAGATGGGTTGCACTTCGCGGACCTGTGCGCCCGCGGTGGGCTCGCGGTTAAGAGTTCTGTTGTGAGTTGTAACCGGTACCCATTCCTGCAACAGTTCTGGTCCCAAAACCGCTCGTAACCGAAAGCCACGTACGCTGGGTCTTAGTTCCAAAAAAGGAAAATTTTGGGGTCGTCTTCTTCGAAGATGCTAAGAGTACACGACGGCTTGATGGCCGGCACGCGGCGTGGCGGCTGGATCGGCAGCGGCGGCTGGATCGGCAGCGGCGGCTGGATCGGCAGCGGCGGTTGGATGGGCGGCACACGGCTTGGCACTGTGGTCTGATGGGCGGAACCAAACTTGCCAGCTCAAGGCCGGATTCAAAATGCTTTCATCCTTATGCTTCGATTCAAGCCCCTAAGCCCAAAATCCTGCCAGATGCAAGCACGGGATGAACATTTTCCTTGTCTATCCCTGCAACGTTAAACCTTGATCCCAAGAGCTAAACCCCAAACCCATGAGATTCAAAACACCCTGAGCTGCAGTCGTGTATTGCAAAGTCCGTATTATTTTGCCCGTAGCCCTTATGTTAAAATCGTTTAAGAAGCAGCGATGCAAGAATCACACCATCATTCCACAATGATCAAGCCTGCCAAGTCAAAAACATGAAGAAAACAAATCCAGCCGCCCAATTTATTTGGGTATGTAAATGCTTCCTGTAGTTATTGAACTGTTGCAGCTTTGTTTTCTTCCCATTCTAGTCGGATAGGCGCGGAATGCCAACTGTAATTTTCATTTGCTTCATGCTGTTTAGGGTCTTCGCCGACACTAATTCATTGGTTGTGGTTTGAAATTGGATTAATGCGTAGTAGTATTCGTATTTGGCTCAAAAATCGGTGAGCTGCACGAAAGCAATTTCGAGAACAGGACCGAGGAGCAATGCAGGCGCGTGAGAGGTTTCACGGAACAATATTCGCCATTCTTGTTCGATGTCTTCCCTTAGGCGCCTGCTCTGGCTCCCGAGATACCTGCTCCTCTACCGCCGAGGAATCCAAGTGAGACCCTTGTGTTTCTCGCAGTTTTGAGTCGACGCTTTTGGGCTACCAGATGCGTATTTCCTGCTTGTGCGCGTTTTCATTATTCGCAGGAAGAAAAAAAGAAGAAGCCCGTTGGTTGCAAATGTTGCTGTTTGAAAATTCCGCGATTTCAACATCATATGCCAAAAGTTTGCTTGATTACGGACCTGCACTCAACTGCCAGTGACCTGAGGGCGTGGTTTTCTGGAAGTGTTTCTCCACAAGGTGCGCTCATGGCAAACTTTCTTTCTGAAGTTTCCATTCGTCAGCCAATAGTGGCCACGTTTCGTTTCATTCCCGGAGCTTCGGCATTTTCACGTCAATCCATTGCATGTCTAATTGCTAGGTTGCACGTCCTTGCCCTTGACCAGCATTGTTTCGCAGGTGCAGAAACCTGAGGTCATCTTGATCAGCGTCTGGTGGTTTATCATGCTAGTTTTAGCGCCTCGACTTGCTGCAAGACTCCAGTCCAGCATCTCTCGTGTCTTGTTGAGGCCAATGGATTCTAGACCATGTTTTTTGCAACCTTCTGCCATTTCAGAAGCGTGGTATCAGTGAGGTTATATACATGGCAGAAATGGGCCCAGTCCTTTGGGAAGTTTGGAGGCCACTTGTTTTCCTGTGTCTCGTTCAGCAATTTGGCGTTGGTGTCCATTGCGGGCTGAGTCCAGTCGTGGCTCTTCAATGCATAGCTTAGGCTCAGCATTCCGGCTCCCGAGCTGCACTTTTGTTAGATGCTTTTGGTAAAGCCCTTGCCCATGACCGTGACGTAAGCTGCAAGGTCATTTTCTTCGGCATCCTTGCCTTCGCCACTCTCTGACAGGTCCGACGAGGTAAAATGTACTTGCGCTGGTAGTCTATTGTTGGCACCGGCACTCCAGTGCTTTCGTCACAAGTGTGCATAAAGATTTCATCAGTGAGCATGTATCTTGAACCAACAGGCGTGGACGTGCATTTACAAAAGTGGTCATGCTGCCCAGACATTGGCCAACAGAACCTGGATGCACTGACAATATATCAATGTTACGGGCTGATTCTATTGATGTGACTGTGCGCCACATCTCGGAGCTCTAGATGTCTGGGTGGACAATGGAAAGGTGTGCACACGTTTGCTCGAACGGCAACTGTATGCTGCACTCTTCTCAGGTTGAACGTGCACGCAGTCCGAAGGACAGCAAGCAAAGCAAGGTGCTTGTGAGCCGCTTGTGCACACGAGTCAAAACCCAGTGTTGGTAGCATTGACACCTTCTCAGCCTTTTTTGCGATGCTGCTTGCGGCTGCCAATTGCACAGGCAAGAGATCTGATTTTCACCTGCTACGTTTCACCTAGGGGTAGGCGCAACCTTGGCCGGTTTGCGCCAGAAAAGCGTGGGGCAGCATGATGGTACGGCTTACTCAGCCAATCGTCCTCTCGGTCATTTCAGCCACGTGCAATTGTTTTAAGATGCAGGACCTTTGGCTCCAAGAATGTCGATCGCCATGTCTCCAGACCAGCATGGCTTCAATGCCGGGTCCCCAGCCGCAACAATGGACTTATGCCTAGCTCAGCACAAGATGTGTGGTACACGGACTTTATTCAGATCAGGTCAGTTCCTCTGTCAAACTCTTGCTCTTGCAAGGCTGTGTGTCTGCAGTGCTCACGGCCAAATTTGCTCGACGCAGTCAGAATCATGTCGTCAGGACAAATCCAAGCCTCCGTGGAGTCTGTCCCTTCCACGTGGTCAGCAGCGCGTGAGACACCTGCAGTTCCCACAAGCGCTGCGGAACTGGCAGCTCCTGGCTAAAATGTTAGACTGCTAGAATGATGTCGGGTAAGCGTGTTTTCCTATCTCCGTTATGCAGTTTGAATGGCTAGCCAAGGCGGTGCTGTCATCGCTGAAATCGGTTTCTGGGCCGCAAGACCAGCAAGGAGTAAGTTCTCAGTGCCGAGAGCGAGCAATGCGAGCACCTACACCACAGCCTGTGCCCCGAGGACGGCGAAGACTGTCAGGTGCTCCTCCGGCGAGCTGCAGCGAGCCGCCAGCTGGAAGAAGGTTTGCAACGAAAGACAAGAAGTGAAGAAGCGATGTCTCTTTGAAAAGCTGGGAGGTGTAGAGCAGGAACTGCGCCTAGCAGAGGATGCTCTGGAGCTGTCGCTTGGCTAGAGGGGGAGCTCTAAGAGTGTGGTGGCCTGAGATATGCGGAAAGTGGGATGCTGGAAGGAAAGCTTACGGCTCTGTAGCTCTGCTTTTCAACAAGCTATGCATATGAAGTGTCTAGCTCAACAACCTTCAGCAGGCCCGCCAAACCTTTTCTTTTGAATTCATCGTCAACGAAGCAGCTGACGTGTCGTCACAAGTGCTTAAGCTGAGCCATGGTTCGTTCCATCCTCCTTGCCGCACTTGTGCAAGCGGCTGCATCTCTCAAGCTAGCTGTGCTCGAGCACGAAGCACGACGGAGGCAGGTCTTTCAGATAGTTCTTTCACGCTTCTGCCCCTGCTAGGTCACTTATGTTGCATGCGGGTATTTCCCTGGACCACTCGTACTTCCAGAACTGTCGTTTCACAGGAGTTCCATCAAGTTAATCACCTGGAGCCCAGGAGTCGGGAGCACTGGCTTGCTGTAAAAAAAGGCCCAAAAGTTTCGTGCTTTGCATGAAAATTACGCAGCAAGGGCATGCAGACTGTCCAGAGCTTTGTTCGAGGGGTTCAACTCAGCAAGAAGATGCTAACCAGGAGATAGTTCAACTTGCCTATCGGTAGACTCATGCTTCGCAACCTTTTCACTGCTGACCGCTGATCTTGAGCGCAGTTGCTAAGTCTGATTTTTGTTTGGTCCCGGTGCCGAAAGCGTGCAGGACCATGAAAACGAGTGCTTTGTTATTCGATACTTCTTGTTTTCAGGCCCGTTAAGCTACATCAATTTTGCATTGTTGTAAGAGGTTTCTGGGCGTAGTAATCTCTTGACATTTGTTTTGCAGCTTGTCAGCCGCGACTTATGGAATGGTTGCAGAGTCTACGTGGGGCACTGACGAAGCTGCAGGGCCATGTTGATCATGTTCTTGCATGACGCATTTTAAGGCGGAGGAAGGCAACACATTTTCTGCAGGAGTGTTACAGTGCCTCTGTAGGCTTGTCTTGTGAGCAGGTGGCGGGTGGTTTTGTGTTAAGAGATTCTGGCATGGCAGGCAAGATGGTCCTTCAACTATCGCAGCGAATCTGGATGTTTTGGAAGCAAAGATGGAGGAGTCTGCAAAGAAGGGAGTGCAACTCTTGGTAACGCCGGAGTATGGACTCACTGGTTTCCCGGGCCAAGAACGCAGCCGATGGTGGGATTATGCAATCGACATTCCAGATTTGATTGTTGGAGAATCTGTTTATCCCAACCCTTGCTTAGAAGCAAGCCAATTTCCAGGGGCAGTCACAAGGCTGAGTTGCGCAGCACGAGCACATGGACTTGCGGTCATAGTCGGTCTGATTGATATGAAGCAGTGCTCGTTTCAATCTTTTCCCAGCTGCGGTTCCAGAGATGATGGATGGCTCTTGTTCAACACAGCTTTAGCTTTTGATGCAGATGGTGCATATATTGCCAAGTATCACAAGGCCAATCTGTGGGGAGAAGATGCCGTGGATCCAGGTCATGACTGCAAACTTCCAGAATTTTATTCACGAAAGCTGAACACAACTTTTGGAATGTTCATTTGTGCAGATTTAGTCAATGCTTGGCCAGTCTTGGAACTGGTTGGCCGGGGCATTCAGCACTTTGTGATGCCTTTGAGTTGGTCCAATGAAATGTTTCAAATGCAGCCACTATCATGGATTCAAGCCTGGAGCAAACTCATGAATGTGACTGTGGCCGCTGCAAATACTCGTTCTCGGGGTTCCACCAGTGGCAGTGGCATTTTCTATGCAGGCATTCCTCTGGCAGTTGCATACAACCTGTCCACTGAAGCGCCAGACGAGTTAGCCGTGGCAGACGTGCCTGAATTCTCCCCTCCACTTCATTTGCCAGCAGTGTGTCCAACGTCAGCCACATATCCCCCAGCAATTAAGCCACACTGGTCACAGTGGTTGACATATCAACTGAATATGTCAGTGGGAAGCCATCATCTGGCAGTGTGCAGCAACTACCAGCCTGGTTTTGCCCACAGTGCAACTTGTTGCAATGTGACATACACATCCAAGAGAGAAGGCCGAGGCTATGTTATGGCTCTGCTAAATGGCCTTGATTTTGCACCTGGAATTGCGCCATGGGCAGGCGAGGCATGCGCAATACTACCGTGTCCTGATGATTCCCCAACCGACTGCTTGTCCTATCCTACAGAGGCTCTTCTAGATCACAGGGCTAACTGGTTTGGTGAATTTTCAGTCGTGGAGCTGACGGTAGCATTTTCCGTCTCTCAGCTTGTCTTCCCGCAGGTCTTAGCCGGCCCAGACAGATTACTTCTTCCTGCAGCCTGGCACCTCGAGAGTGCTAAAGGTACAGGGACTGTGCACAGCCTCATGCTATCCGGCGAGGATGCTGCAGACCTGGTCTCACTTCAATTGTATGGGCGCCCGTACATGAAGGACCCTAATTCGAGCCACAAGTGCCCATGTGTTCCATCAAGCATTTGGTTCTGAAACGTGTCCTTGCGCTAGAAGGAACCGTTTCTGCGAGCCGGACAGCTGATTGTACGCATCTGCCATTCCAATCGAAATTTCTTTTATCATTGCCTTTCAGTTAAATTCGACAGCGATCGTGCTTGGGGGGTTCGGGTTTCACGCGGAATTTCTGACCCACACTTGAAACTGAAACCTCAGTTCGCAATCTCATATCTTATCAGTATATGTATCGGTAGTGGAAGCACTTTTAGCTATTTTTAGCTTGCAGGTGATTCGCCCGGAAACGCCTTCAACAGCTAACCTGGCACAGACTGCCTTACAGATGGATCCGTGCAGAACCTCAGGTCCCGCACCGAAGGCAGTTTCCTGACGCCATCTCCAGCACGAGCAACGTCTTCAACATCCTTGCCCAATTGGGAGGTGTGGCATGTGTGGCCGTGAGGACGACTTGTTACAGAGCTCCGTTGCTTAACAAAGGCCTCGGCATTTTGTGCCATTGCCGAAGCCCACCTGGGAATCGAGGATTGTGAGAAGGTTCGGCGGAGAGTGATCTTGGCTTGCTCAACTGCATTGGTTCTCCAAAAGAGCATTTGCAGGCTTTGGAGGCCTCGGAGGAGGCACTGGGTCTGTGCCGCTTCCGGCACTCCTGCGGCGAGGCCGAGGCCACATGAACCCAAGCAGCTGCGTCGGCGAAAACAACTTGCTTTGCACGCATATGAGTGGGCGTCGCAGCACTGCTAGTGACAGACAGGCTTTGGTCGTGCAATTCAAAGCACAGCTCCTAACCATCTCTGCAGAAGATATGCAGATGATGGTGACAACACCTGAGTTCTCAGTCAATTGTATGCTTGCTGTCAGCATAAACATGGAAACGCCAGTTAACGGAAACGTTGAGGCGAGAACTGCTGGCACTTTGGAGAGAACTGGGCGCCACTTGGGGCGAAGTTGCAGAGACGATCAGGCTGGCAGAAAGGCTGGGCTTCCTTTGCTAATTTGGATTTTCGTTTTCACCGTCGCGTTGAATGCAGGTGTCGTGCTTCTGGTGTCGAGCTAGACGATGCCATAGCTTCTGCAGCTCAGAAGCGAGAGCTGCAACCTGAGGTTTACTTCCGCTGCTTTTCCGTTTTCCGGCAGAGGAGATCGCTAGCTGAGGTTGGAGGATCGATGGGGCTTGGCGCAGGATGGAGCAGAAATTGTCAGGGAAGTTTCCTCCAGGTGCGGACTGATCGTGCTTTTGTTCAGGACCTGTGCACTGCAGTTTGCGCTCACCCCGCCCTTGCAGCCAAAGGGAAGCTGTTGAGACTGCTGGAGGTGCCTTCGACATGGAATTTGCTTGGAACAGTTTCCCCATGGCTCTGCAAGGAGCTTCTCACAGCAAGCCGACGATGCGGAGCCTTGAGGGAGGGTGCTGCAGCCAGCCAGGAAGCTGGGAAAGGGCTTGGCAGAAGTGGTTTAATGGCACATTTTTTTTATTTTGTTTTCGTAAGTGCTGATGGCCATGCCAGGCGGCAGCAGCTGAAGAGCTCTTGGAGGTGACTTTGAGGGACTTGGAAATTGGAAACGTGTTTCAAGTACTGACATCTGTTGCGAGGCCGGCCGTTTCAGTGAGGCGCGGCGCGCTGCTGCGGCGGCACTGCGGCTTTGCCAAGAGGCCAAGGAATCGAAGGACGTTTCGATCAGCGCAGCTGTGCTGTGGCTTGTTGAAATCCAATTCAGTCTTTGATGTTGGCGAAATAAAGTCAGGGTCTATCCTTAGCCTGCTGAGATGTGGGCCGTGGGGCCGAATGTTGTCTCCCTCCATGGATCCAGATTCAGACGGGTGGGTGGCGGGTGCGGAAATTGCTGCGTTCATGGCTCCCTTCATTTTGTCCTGGTTCCGATAGGCCGCAGGCTCTCCGTTCGAGGATCTTGATTCCGGATCCTGACTTGGATTGGCTGCTGAGGGGATCTTGTTTTGGAGGTTGGCTTCCTTATTGGATCCAGGCTGAGATGGGTGCCGCGAGTTTCGGGCACTGGTCGCTGTACTGCGACGAAAGTTGCGCAATCGGCGCCACAGCAAAAAAAGCAGCCCTGCCAAGACATGCGTGACAGCAGCACTGAGTGGACTATGGCTGGGCATGCTCCAAACAGGGGAATCTTCTGGCCCCTTCAGGGAACAGGGCCCCGATGTCAACAAAAACGTTTGACATCGTGTGTGGCATCCTCAAAATTTGGTTGGAAAATCACGCTCTTGCATGAGCATCCTCACATGTTGGACGAAAACCCTGCTTGGCTAGATTCCAACCGGCTCAACTGGTAATTTGAGCAGGTTACCCCAAGTCTGTGGCTTGTCGTTCGGACTTCCGCAGCTTCAGTGCTTGAAGGCTTGGTGCCTCAAACATGCGGCTGCGTGCTTGCGCGTCGTTGGAACTTACTTCTCGAATGTGTGCAGCTCGGGCTGGCTGCAAAAGATGTGCTGCAAGGATCTGCAAGGCATGCCCAGGGCCCCTCGTAGGACCCCTGTGGTGTCCGTAAGCTGGAGGTCCAGAATCACTATTATTTGTGCTCGGAAGGGGTTGCTGTGCAGCCTTTTCGCTTGGCTCACGAGGGGAAGGCAGAGTTTCCGGCTACCGGGGCATTTCGTGGTGAACGGAATGATGCAACCACCCATCCATTTGTATTTGTATGCTTGGTGCGAACTCCCCTGAGCGCGGAACCGGTGACTGCTTAGCATGGTCAGGCCCTGATGTTCATGCTCAAAGAGAAATACTGCGACGGCCCGGCGGACATCTGCAATCTTGACTTGGACAACGTGTGTTTAACACCCAGGTGGCCCAAGTGGGAACAGAAGGAAGACGGTAGCTGGTCTGTCAGACGCATTTCTGATTGGCGGGCTTCAGGCAGTAATACCACAGTCATTTTACTGGAGAGGAAATTCCCAGACATCCCCAGAGGACCTCACCACAGACAATGCCGTGATTCGAATCGTCTTTCCTCAAGGGATGCCTCTACAAGGTTTCGTATTGATTGTTGAAGGGCATTTAGGCAAGATCCTGGGCCGGTGAGTCACACCGTCATCACTCCGTGACAAATTCAAGTAGGTTCGCAGTACGCTGTGTGGTCGAAGTGGAGCAGCCATTTTGGCCCTCTGCGCTCCAGACCACATACAGGCCTCCACACAGCTATGCAAGTTGACTGGCTCGAGCATGCTTTGTAACGTGAAAATGGAAGGCGTCCTTTGATCTTGCATCCAAGGAGCTGGTTGTCACATTGTTGTCACGGTCAGGGAATGTGATGTGTGGGTTTTTGGTTCCCTCGGCCGCCTCAGCAGCCAAGCTACCGTTACACAGGTAGAGGTCGTGGGCCCATTGTTTGCGCTTGCTACACGTCATGTATACTATTGTTTGAAATTTACGGCAACTTGGCATATTGGCATTCTGATTTGTGCTAGGATTTTTTCGCCGCCATCACCCTGCCTGTATTTGCTACAGCTACTGCCTTTATTGCCTCCGTCGCTGCTATTGCTTCTGCAATGATTATCAATATTGTTATCCTTCTCGCTATTGTGCTTGTTCTTGTTTTTTTGTTGTTGCTGTTACTATGATTCCACATGAGTGCGGTTGTCATTTTTCGTTGCTCTAACGTCACAAAAATGTTATGAATCAATGTACTTGTTAATAAAACTGTTATTGCTACGTTTCATTTGCAGGACTCTTCTTACATATGTTATTGCTTATAGTTACTCTTGTTGCTACCGCTGGTACCAAACTTGTTGCTATTGTTGTCATTTCTTGTTGTACTTGTGTAGCCAAAGCTGTTATTATCACAACTGTTTCACTGTCATGACTATTGGTTCTATGCTAGTCCCATTTTATCTTCATGGTGCGCATGGGGGGGGGTCCAACTCCCAGCAGCTGAAATCTGGCATGTGCAATATTCTTGGGACTTCTGAGGAACCTCAGAAGTTGTGACATGCAGCTGTTGTAGCCTTCCAAAAGCGAACAAGCAAATCAAGCACACCCAAACAACAAAAGAAGTCCGAACACTGGCCAAATACTTCTCGAATTGGTTTCTGATTCCTTCGGCAATCTTAATTCGAGCGTGCAGTGACTTACAGAGCCCATTCGGCTGACCCATGAGTAAAGGGAGGAGCTTTGCGAAACCAAGCCAGCCAAAAAGCAAGCCCGGCCTGCCTCCGTGACTCCCCTGTCTTTCTGCAAAGAAGTTGGAACATGGCCGGGAGGATTTTGCATCTCAGACCTCTCGAAGAGATGAGGCAAGCTTCGAAAACGTTGCGGGTCCTAGATTCATGACGTGCCATGCGCAGCCAATAAACGCAGGTCAGAGCATGGCTAGTCATTGGTCGTGAGAGCCTCAATTGGTGTCCCGGCCTGTGAAGCTCAGAGGGATCTTGGTTGAGGTGCTGCGTTGGCTCTGCCAAAAAGGCGGGCTGAGGAGGCCATGATTTTGGGATATTTTGGGATGGACTCCAAAGCGATTCTTACATGCGAACCTGCAACTCCGCACAGAATCTGGGAATGATGGGTTCATTGGGCGGCACATTTGATGACTGAGCGAAGCACTTCACGCTAACAATTTACCAGGAACGCCATGTTTTACCACTTCCTAGCATGCTTGCGAACAGGCCTTCCGCGCCGGTGCTGAGGCCGTCAGAAGGGCCCAAATGCCCAGTCATTTTCATGAGGGATGTAAAATAAAAGATGTGTTTGTACGTACGTTTCTGTTGTCAGGCGGTTGCCCTGAGCCGTGAAGTGGGCGATCGGAAAGGTGACGTGCCCGGACTTTTCATTGCCCTTGTCTTGAGAACACGCAGACCTAATAGCGGAAGTGTGACCTCACAGCCTCGCTGCCGATTTTTCCAAGGGAGATTTGCCGAGCTGCTACGACATCCAGTGCTGTTGTGTTGTTGAGCCGTCAGCGCTTGCCACTTCATTTCACCGTGTGTAGGTGAAGCAGACGGCCTACACTTCTTGGCGGCAGCGTGTCTCGCGACTGAAGGTGCCTTCCTTTTTTTCAAAGCGCGGATGATTTAAAGTGTAGGGTTTCCTGGCGGCTCAGTGAAGCCTTGTCGTTGTGGCTTCACATGCACTACACTCGAGCATTGATGCAGGTCAAGTGTTTGCCATTTGCGCCACTGCCTCTAAGATTTTTTTGTGCCGCTAACCCGCAGACTTGTTTGCTTTGAGCAATTGCATGGCTGCAATCGGGATGGTGGCCAGCTGGCAGGCAGCTTTATGGTTGCCTGTTGCTCTACCTCCCGAGCGCATTGAACCCAACACTGTGACTTACAATGGTGCTCTCAGTGCAAGCTTCGAGATGGGAAGCTGGCGCTGCACTCTGCACCTGCTTGCGCAGGTGCCAGCCGACAGTGTGGATGTGATCACATACAATGCGTCAATCCGTTCATGCCAAGATCCCACTGCCTGGCAGCTACCTCGCCTGTTGCTGTGCTCTATGCAATCAACGGCCCTGGCTGCAGACGTTTTCACGTGCAATCTTATGCTTCGCAATTGCGGAGATGGTCAGTGGGAACGGGCATGGGCATCCTTTTTTTGTGCCCGTTGGGACAACGTTGAAGCAGACGTGATTGGCTTTAACTCCTTAATCCATGCATGTGCAAAGGACAAAGTTTGGTCAGGTGCGCTTTCTTTGCTTACTTTGGCATGCCAGGGTGGCTTGGAAGCATCGGCCGACCCCAAAGGGATGAATCCTGTGATAAGTGCATGCCGGGGTAAATCCTGGGTTCTTGCGCTTCAGTTCTTCCGCAGACTGCAAAGTCAGCGCATCATTTCCAAGGTTAGCTATGGTGCCATCATTTCAGCCTTTGATGAGACCGAGTGGGCAAGAGCCCTGTACCTGGCAGCATTCGCAGGACCACCCAGCCGACAAAACACTGTAATCCAAAACTCCGCTATGCTGATGTGCGGCTGGCGCCGCGCATGGTCCATGCTCAGCATGCTCAGCATGCTCAGTAGTACCGCGTCACCAAGCAAGGTGAGTTTCAGCAGTGCTCTTGGCAGCGGCCGCCGGGGAGTAGGGTGGCCACTGGCGTTGTGTTTTTTGGTGTGGATGCTGGCCTGCAGGGCTACACCCGACAGGATAATACAAAATACGGCATTGGATATTTGCAGGCTGCAAGGACGTTGG